TATTTATTTCTTAGTTCTCGGTGGACACAACATCTTTGTTTGTATGTGGTGCTGAGGATCGAACCCAGGCCGCACGCATGCCAGGCGAGCGCGCTACCGCTTGAGCCACATCCCCAGCCCTTGCCTAGCATTCTTGAGCCCTGGGTGGAATCCCTAGTACCACTAAGGGAGGGAAAAAAAGAAATAACTATTCTGATCACTTTCTAATTATCATACTAGATTTTACTATTACTTGTGCCATTGATTGTATCTGGGAGAGTTGAAATGTGCCATGGAGGCATACCACTATACATCGCTTCTCAACCCTGCATTTAATGAGTCAAGTTAGTAGCTTGAGATGGGCCATAGTGGGAGTTTGTACTCTGGAAACAGGCCAACCTTCATAGGGCCACCCGTTCACATTACCAGTACACCACTGTCCGGGGGAGGCTGTGGTCCTACTTAGGAATGTTGCTACACTGGGTGCCCAGGAGGAGCTTTTGGCTCTAGCTGTTACTCCTCTCCCCCAGGGCTTCATCCTCCTACCCAAGACCGAGTGTGATGTGCGGGAAGTGGAGTTTGCCCGATGCCTGCGGCTGCGCCAAACCTCCCTGGAGCCTGTTGCTTTCCGGCTGCCCCGAGTCAGGGTGAGGTCGGGTCCAAGGATTCCAGCACCCTCTTCACAGCACTGGCCAGGGACTTTAAAAGTTCTATCTGGCTGTGCTTCCAAACCTTCCTGCTCTCTGCTCTTTGGGGATACTGGCCCCTTATTTGCTGCAATTTCAGAAGTTATGGATGCCCCAGCATGGGGGTAAGGGTCACAGAGCTTGATATTGGTGTGTTCTAGGTCTTAGTCAATGTCTCAAGACAGTCCCTTCCCCCCCTGCAGAAAGAGTTCTTCCAGGATGATGTGTTCCCAGACACTGCTGTGAGCTGGGAGCCAGTGCTCAGTGCCGAGGCCTGGCTAGGAGGCACTAATGGACAGCCCCGACTACTCAGCCTGCAGCCCCCTGGCATGATCCCAGGTGGAGTAACTAGGGTTGGGGGGAGGAAGCAGGGGAATCTGGACAGGGCCTAGAGGAGGGGGCAGAGGCCCAAGTTCAATCCTTCATCATTGAGGACACACAGGACCTCCAGCTCTCTCAGGGATGGAGTGACCATGTCTTGAGACCCAATCTCTGAGCTCCTGGAGGGTAGTACCTATGTTTCCATCCCACATCTACCCAACACACACCCTGGTCCCTGGTGCCTAGGGCAGTCCTCCTAAACAGAAACTTCACTAGCTGTTTATGCCACCTATCCCCTAGGGGCTGGCATCAAGCAGCCCCCACACAGGGGACTCTCTGATACCTGTCCTTGCCTCATCTCAGTGAGCCAAGCCCCCCGTGAAGCACCTGCCCGGCGAGCCCCATCCTCAGCACAGTACCTGGAAGAGAAGTCAGATCAACAGAAGAAGGAAGAGGTAGGCAAGGGAGAGGGCTAGCTCTGCAGAGCGGATGGGGTCCTAGCTGTGTGTGGCTGTCCTTCATATCTCTAGTCCTGATCAGATGGGAGTTGTATCACACTGATCTCTGTGTCAGAGCTTGGTGGGGAGACCTTTCAGAGCCCTGCTGCTGACCTCCTGCTGCCCCCAGGCTACAGGAAGCCAGGGAAGGTAGGGAGAGCCCCTCTAAGCCCCACCAGGTTTGATCCAACTAAAACTGGAGGTTGGAGAGCCAAGTCCATTTGGGGCCCTGGTGTATGTTTGAGCTTTTTAGGCTATGTGCAGAGACAGCTGCACCTGAATCAAGTGCCACAGCCACCGTCTCTCTGTCTCTGATTCCCATCTCTTGTCTTTGTGTCTTCTTCAGTGAAAACCCATGAACTTTGCCACAGCTCTAATTAAAATGGCTCTTTTCACAATACTGTCAGGGTTAAAACCATGGGATCTGATGCTCTTGAGGTCTGGAAGTCCTATTCCTTTCAATGCTTCTCTGATCCACTCTTGCAGCTGCTGAATGCCATGGTGGCAAAGCTAGGGAACCGGGAGGACCCGCTGCCCCAGGACTCTTTTGAAGGGGTGGATGAGGATGAGTGGGTAAGTGAGTGGCAAGGGAGACCAGCCTTCCTGACCAGCAGCACCATCCCTCCCAGACACACAGCAGCACACATACCCTTCCTTTCCAGACCCTCTTAACTCTCTCCCACTTCTTGGTTTATCACCCCAGGACTAGCCTGCCTACCAGTCACTTCTGGCCTCATCTGCTGCTGCCACCTCCTAGAACCACCTGGTGCCCTTGCACACCTCACATCTCTTCAACCTGGAAGATACCTCTCTGGCCTTGGCACGCCCCATCTCAGAAGCCTTGGTTTATTGCAGGCCTTGGGCACTTCCATGGTTGCTGGGCCTACTGCAACTCCCAGGGATTGTCTGTAATTCAGCTTTCTTTGGGATCAGCTGCTTGTCCTCAACCACCTGCTAGCATGTGGAACCAAAGGGCATGGGGTTGGGGTCAGTACCATGTCCCTGGGCAGGCCCTGGGCTCCCTGTCTCCCCTGCTCTTTCTGCTGACCTGGGCTGGTCCCAGCCTAGGCTGGTCTTAATCCAGCACCTTCAGGTACTACATGCCAACCTATCTTGCCTGCTTAATTGTTCCTATTAAGGGTGTTGGGGGCTGGCCCTCCACCAAGCCATTTGGAACAGCTCCAGCCTGAAGAACCTGGGACCAGTTGCCCTGCTTCCCAGGATTGCAACCAGGAGAAGGGGGCCTCACCAAATCGATGGCCCAATTAGGGTAGTGTGAATCCTGCAAGGACCAGCCTGCACATGCTTGGATGTTTTCAGCAATTAAATTTTTGTAAGCTGACCACCTCTTGTGCTATTCTTGTCTCTGGGATAGCTGGAAAGGGAAAGAGGACATGAATATGAGTGAGAGTGGTTGAATCTGTGCTCACCCTCATCCCAGCTCACTTTGTCCTTATGGCCTTTTAGCTGAAAGCTACTGGGAGTTCATTCATTCAGCACTCAGGTGCCCAGCAGTACTCTGGTAGGTATTGAAACTGGAGAGCCCAGCAGGGTTGGGGTCTTTCAGTGAGCTTAAGCTTACTATAGCTTTGTTGTACAAGGGAAGTAGACTTTGCAGAAGAGCAGTGTGAAAGGAGCCATGGAGAAGATAACTATAAAAAAAAAGAAGTGGGGCTGGGGATACAGCTCAGTTGGTAGAGTGCTTGCCTCACATGCACAAGACCCTGGGTTCAATCCCCAGCACACACACACACAAAAAAGGAAGTGATTTGAATGCGGGGGCAAATAGGGTATTCAGAGGTCTGAGGAGTTGACTCCTATTTAAGCTGACACCTGAAGGAGCTTGCCTCAGAGAATGCTACAAGAACATCTCTAACAAAAGGAAGGACAGCAGGAGTGCTGAGGGAAGAAGCAATTTTGAGAGCCTGAGGAAAGAAAGGGCAGTGCCAGAGCACAGTGTAGGCAGCCTGACTTCCATCTATTCTACAAATACTTATGAGCACCTGCCACACTCCAGGCAGCCTTCCAGGTGGAGATTAAATACACAGCTTGCCCCCTGGGAATTTGCCTTCTAGTGGGAGGGAACAGACTATAAGCAATAAACATAAAAATAAAGGAACTATATGATAGGGTAGAGGATGTAAAAGCCTCAGAAAAAAATAGAGGATGTCAGGGGGCTGGGGCTGTGGCTCAGTGGTAGTGCACTTGTGTTGCAGGTGTGAGGCACTGTCGATTCTCAACACCACGTATAAAAAATGAATAAAATAAAGGTCCATCAAACAATAAAAATATATATACATTTAAAAAAGTAAAGGGGATCAAGAGTGGAGGATTAAACTGCGCATGGTAATACACACCTGTAATGCCAGCGACTCTGGAGGCTGAGATGGGAGGATCGCAAGTTCAAGACCAGCCTCAGCAATTTAGCTATCCATAGTTGCCCTAAGAAACTTAGCCAGACCTTGTCTCAAAAAGATAAAAAGGGATGGGGATATGGCTCGGTGATAAAGTGCCTGTGGGTTCAATCTGCAGTACCAAAAAAGTGAAGGAATACCCAGCACTACCAAAAAAAAAAAAAAAAATGAAGGAATAAGCAATAAGCCAGTCACAAAAGACACTTGTAGTATTGATTCCATTTTTGTGGAATGTCTTGAAGGGACAAATCCATAGGGACAAAATGCAGATGAATGGTTGTCAGGGCAGGGCGAGGTTGACTACTGGTGGGCAAGAAACTAAATGGTGGTGATTGTTGCACAGCTCTGTGAATATGCTCAAAGACACTGAATTGTGCACTTTAAAAGTGTGAGGTGTATGGTGTGTGAATTACATCTCAATAGAGAGAATGTCGGGCATGTCATAGTGGGGGACTCGGGGTGGGCTTCATTGAGAAGGTGGCATTTGAGCACAGATTTGGGGGAGGAAATCAGCCTCTCAGATTACCAAACAGAAGGATTCTGGACTGAAATTTATTTTGAAGTTCCCAGTTTTCTTAGATATTCCCGAAAATTTGGCATCCTACCTCATATTCGTTTATTTCACACGATGTTTTCGTTTTAAATATTTTTGGCAAAACTAAGGGAAGAAACAGTCTTGGCGCCCCAGCTAGAGGGCCACCTGGAGGGGCTGGGACCATCCATCGCCCGCCTGGTGATCCCCAGAGCCCAAGGAAGGTTCCGCCCACCGAAGGTCCCGCCCCTCTTTCGTCACGACAGCGCTCCGGGGCCGAGGTAACGCGCATGCCCAGCGCGGCCTCGCGCACGCGCTTTGCTGTCTCCTTTAACCTCTGACCCGCCGGCCGCCCTTGAGCCGGCGCGGCGGGGCCAGGAAGCGGGAGTCCGCGACCCCGAGGCAGAGCGGTCGCAATGGTGAGACCCGGGGTGCGCCGCCGGGACAGGGAGGCTGGGGAGGGTGATGGGGCTCTGGCTGTGCTGAGGGCGCGCGTGCGGCGGGAAGCGGGGGGTCGGGGGAGGCGGCCGGGAAACGCCGCCGGCGGAAGGCGGCGCACACCTACCTGGCTGACGCACGCGCCGGTCCTTGCCGTCGCCGCCGGCTCAGCGGGGTGAGAGCGAGCCGCCGCGGGCGACCGGAGGGGGCATGCGCACACCTGTTCCACGGAGGCCTCCCGGGAACTTTGAAAAGGCAGGTTCTTGAGCACCGTCCCTGGGGGTCGCGGAGTTGGTATCTGCCAATCGATGACTTGAGGGACTCTATCCATAGGAAAGGAAAATGCTGTGGATAAGTATGATAGGAGGAGGCTGGGAAAGTTTCAAAGTGGAGGAATTTGGAGCACACGTGGAGAAGAAAAGTGTAAGAACTGATCTAGAAGTAGAGGGTGCATTTGCATTATGGGGAGAGGTGAAGGGGAGAATAAGGCGGAGAAGTTAGTTTAGGCCAGATGGAGAGAGGTGAATGCCAAGTGGAGAACGGTGTGTGTATTGGGCAATGGCCAGAGCCCTTCCCCAGCTGAGGAAACCTTGTCTGGGAGCATAGAGTATAAGACTCCAGCCTTGTCTGAAGCGCAGCTGAGGGTGGTGTGGTTAAGTGTCCATTCCTGGGCAGCCACATTCATTCAAATGCAGGTTGGGCTCTGGGCCCCTATGGTCCTGGCCTTTTTCCTGCCTAGCTGTGATACCAGCAGCTGTTTGTAGAGGCCCTGGGTGACCATAGCCCCTTGCTAGCTCAGCATGTCCTTGAGAAGGAAGTGAGTCTTAGTGGCAGTCTGCTCACCAACCTGAGGGTCTGCAGCTGTGCCTTGAAGGAATGTAGCACATTTGTCAGAAAGCTGAGCTCCTTTCTTGATGTACTTTTAGTGGGATAATCCTTATTTCTGAGTGTCTCCTTAATATTACTTGTGGTACTTTGCCCTAACTTCAGGGCTGTGGTCTTGTATTTGCCATGTTGCTTTACAGAAGAAAAGGCCTATGTGCTGCCCGCTGTGGGTCCCAGGTTGGAGTCCTGTGGCTCTGACCTCTGCTGTCTGCCTACTGCTTGACCCGAAGTTGATTGCCAATGGTTGGTCTTCACTGGGACTTTCAGACCCAAGTATCAGTCAGTGTATTATGGGTTGTTTTAGGTCTTTTTAGGAGGGGCCTCATCCGGTGGCACTTTGGATCACCTGTAGAGGCTGCAGCTTCCAGAGCTTTGCCCACCATGAATCCCCAGCTGTGAGCATGGCCTGACCCATAGTCAGTGTTCAGGGAATGTTTGGGTTGGAATAGGTGGATGAGAGTTGGCAGCACCACCTGATTGCCAGACCATTAACACCAAACTGGGTCTGGTCCTTAAGTAAAGCCAGCTGTTGAACTCTTGCTTCGGCCTGCCACTGTGGGTCCAGTTGGTTTTACATGCATTCCTTTATGGCTTTATGACTCTCCTATAAGGAATATATTTCTTTTCTTCGTTTTGCAGATAAGAAAACAGGGTTTAGAGAAGTTGAGTAACTTGCCCAGGGACACCCAACTAGTGAGAAGCAAAGTTAGGTTTCCAGTTGAAGTATCTCCCTAACTGCTTCCTGGCTCCCTGGGGAATACAGCATTTTGCAGCCTTCACCCCTGAGGAATCAAATGAACTGCTTTATTATAAACTTTGTTACTCCATACTGTCTAGCCATTGCCAAGTTTTGTGACACAGCAGTAGTTAATGAAAAGCAACACTTACTGATCACCTACTGTATTATTAAGGTCCATGCCGGACACATTATAGGCATTATATAATCTCTGTGACAGCCCTATCATTGTCCTCATTTTATAGGCTCAGAGGGATTGAGATCTTTTCCAGGGCCACACAGCCAGGATTTGGCCACAGGTGATCCCAGAGCCTTCTGTAACCACTATAACACACTCTTTCTCCAGTGTTTTGTAGCAGGTGACCCTGCAGGAACTTTGGTGGCCTCCATCTGCCCTCTATCCAGCTCCCTCCACCAGCCAGGGTAGCTGCTGAAACTTTGTGGGCCAATCCTGCCTTCCCTGCAGTTGTAGAGAGTTCTGGACAGTAGAACCACAGGCTACCATGCCACTTTGATTGATTTATTTTTTTCATTTTTCATTTTTGGTCCTTGGATTTAACCAAGGAATACTAAACCACTGAACTACATCCCCAGCCCTTTTTATTTTTTATTTCGAGACAGGTCTCACTAACATGCTTAGGGCCTTGCTAAATTGCTGAGGCTGGCCTTGAATTTATAATCCCTCTGTCCTCTGGGTCTCTGGTATTAGAGGCATGTGCAACCATACCCAGCACAACTTTGATTTAAAACATGGAGGACATGATTAGGGAAGTTTCCCAGTTACAGCCTTGGTGTTTTTGTTTTCTATTTTGGGGTACTGGAGCTTGAACCCAGGGTTTTGTGCATACTAACCAAGGACTCTATCACTGAGGTATAGCCAGCTGTCAGGCTTTTTTTTTTTTTTTCAGTTGTAGATGGACATACTATCTTTATTATTTTTTATGTGGTGCTGAGGATCAAACTCAATGCCTCATGCATGCAAGACAAGCGCTCTACCACTGAGCTACAATCCCAGCCCAGTCTTTCCTCTTAATGTGCATTATTTAGCAATGGTTATTGGCCTCAGCAGAAAAGTAACCAGTGATTACAAGACTATGCTAAGCCTCTGGCAGCAGAAGACAGAGGCTTTGGGGTGGGAGGTGAGATCACCTAAGGGGTTTTCCAGGCTCAGGGAACCTCTGGAGATAGTGACTGCCCTGTCATGCAAGGCCAGTATTCCACTTGAGAGCCTGTAGCTTTTAGGCAAGGAGGACAGAAGACAGGTAAGATTACACACTCAGCAAGCACACTGCTATTCCTCATACACCTCCAGTACAGCTGGCTGCAATCTTGCCTTTGATTACATGAGGGTCTTTAGGCTTTACTTTCTTGTATGAAATCCGGAACTTATAAAATTTCCACCTACTTGTGAAATGCATACCAAATTCTGTTTATTCATCTTCCTGACGGCCCATAATCATATCCCTTCTGTTAGGGAAGGGCAAGGCCTTGAAAGCCAAACTAGGTCACTTCTGGAGTCCGAATTCCACTGGAATCTGACAGCCCCTGTCCTCTTTGGCTTCTGGATCAGTTTGCTTAGTCACCCTGCCTTATCTTGGGATTTTTGTGAGGCAGCAGCCCACAGCTACCTTGTCACATAGCGCCAGCTCTGGGTTCCTTCTCCCTCACTCAAGTACTAGCTGTCTGTCCTTGGTCACTAAGCCCTTTGAGTTATTGGGATTATATGGCACAAACAATAGAATATGTTTGGCACAGTGCCTGGCACACAAGCTCAATCAGTACTTGCTGACCAAGGGGAACTCTAACCACAGGAAAGTACAAAGAAGAAAGGGCAACTTACTTGACTCTACCACATGAACACTGTTAACCCATTGTGAGCAGTCTCCTGTGTCCTCTGTGCGACCCTGTTTGTACCATTTCATGGACACAGGATCATTTTTTATACATGTTGCCTATGTTATCTGCATGTCACAATATAGTCTATAAATTTTCCCATGTCATATGCCTTTCTGTTCTTACCTCTGGCTGCTCCCAGGATGTATCTTATTCCCCTACCCTGTTCCTCTGCTTCAGAGTCCTAAGAGTCCCATCACGACTCTATCTGCTCTTCAGAACCTAGCCAGGAGAAGCACCATCTTCTCCCAGAACCTCTCTCATTGCTCAGTGTTCCCTCTACTGACTGAGCGTCTGGTTGTGTCTTAGTGAGGTATGTCTGTGGCATGCTGAATCATAGTCTGGGGTCTGTATAACCTTGCTGTGCTGCAGTTGATTTCCATGTCAGGCCATGTAAGTATGTGGCCAGCTCAAGACAGGGACCAGGCTCTGTGTGTGCTGTGCAGTGGGTGGCATAGACTCTGGCTAGTGTTTGAAGGAGTAGGCAAACCAGTGGCTGAACAAATGAACTAGCCCTACTCTTGATAATCAAAAGGTCCTTCCTGTGATTGTCTAACTACCCTCCTAATGGGCCTTTAGCTCCTGAAGCTGGAGACTGTATATTCTAAGTAGACCTGTGGTAACTTTTTGTTGTATTGAATGGAATGAACTCCAAGTCATAGGACTCTATGGTTAGAATGGGTCTGAATTTTCCCACTGGTAAAAAGAAGGTTGGACCAGATAATCTGAGAAGCACAGGAAGAGTCATTGTCAGTTCTGGGATAGAGGGTGAATTGGTAACAGGTCTGGGACTGTCCCTGTGTTCTGGATCCCAGGCCACGGTGTTTCTTACTAATGTCAGTACCCTCCATCCCCTGTAGCCACATTGCTTTGGTTTTTCTCTGACTTTCCCGAAGGTCAAGGGGGACCAGTCTGCCTCTGGAGACTCCAGTAAGTATCTGAAGCCACCCCAAGCAGAAGCTTTTTATCAGGGCACTTTGGAGAAGGTAGCCTGTGGCTGCAGTGCTATACACCATACTCTCAGTTCCTCAGCAGCCATCTCCAGACTCCCCACTTTTCAGGCCCTGAGAATGCAGCCTTCTAACCAGATGCCTACTCTGCCTACAGGCCAAGTACCTGGCCCAAATCATTGTGATGGGCGCACAGGTGGTAGGCAGAGCCTTTGCTCGGGCCCTGCGGCAGGAGTTTGCAGGTAAGCATGGGCCCCTCTCTCCTGAGTTGAGAGCTTCTGCCCAGGTCAGATCTTCCTTGGTAGCTCAGCCTGGTCATGAATGCAGTGATTCCCTCCATGATAAAGCATTCTGTGGCTTGGGTGGCTTGGGGCACTCTTTTGTGGTAGGGGGTAATGCCAGACTTTGGGACCTTCCCATGTGAGAGAGGTTTATGTCCAGTGAAACTTGGTTAACATGAATATCCTGCTCAGGAGCTGGCAAACTGGCCCACTTGACCATCTGTTTTTGTAAATTAAGTTTTCCTGGAACATAGCCACATCCTCTGGCTGCTATCAGGGAGAGCTGAGTAATTCCAATGCAGGTGAAATTGACCAAATTTAAAATATTTTCTATCTGACCCTGTAAGGAAATGTTTACTGGCTTCTGATTTTAGTGTCACTAGAGGCAAGCTTGCTTTGGTGGTCTGGGTGCTGGCTTGGCAGCCAGGTCCCAGCAGAACTATTGCTCCTCCCTTGGCCACAGCTTCACTCCGCCTGGTCCCCAATTTGCTCTGCCCCTGGGACCAGAGGTAGGGGGAGAAGGGGACCATAATCCAGGCTCGATGGTCAGACCTTGTCCTCCAGTAAGGCTTGTCTGTCCTTACTTTCCTGCCCCCTCCCCCAAAAGAAACCAGTCCTGGAGAAGAGCTACTCCTGGCCACTTCTGTTCCTGTATGTCTCCTCTGTGCCACCTGGCAGGGGTGAGCCACCCATCCGGAAGGCTCAGGGGGAGCTTTGGGCCATGGAGGGCTGAGCGATCACCCATGTGTCCACACAGCCAGCCGAGCCGCAGCTGATGCCCGGGGACGAGCTGGGCACCAGTCTGCAGCTGCATCCAACCTCTCTGGCCTCAGTCTTCAGGAGGCCCAGCAGATTCTCAACGTCTCCAAACTGAGTCCTGAGGAGGTCCAGAAGGTAAGGCCGTAAGACTGGGGTAGGGGAGGCTTGGCAGAAGTGGGTAAGTGCAGTGGGTCTGACTGAAGCCAGCTGGGACTCCCACTGCACTGAGGAAGCCACTGTTGTTTGTTAAGTTTTAGGCCCCAGGCAGGGCAGTTGCAGAGGCAGAGCTGTTGGTAGTAGCAGCCAAGCTGTCCCTCTATGGGCATCTGTCCTGTCTCTGCCCCTTTAGGTCATAGCAGCCTCCTGGGTTGCACAGTGTGGCATATGGGGTGTAGAGGTCAGGCCCTTTAACTTCCCTTATCGTCAGCTTCTCCTGGTGTCTCATTCAGAGTTTGCAGTCTGCTCTTCGTCTCCTCTCCCCTGCAGAACTATGAACATCTATTTAAGGTGAATGATAAATCCGTGGGCGGCTCCTTCTACCTACAGTCCAAGGTAAGTGCTCTTTGATTCTTCAAGAAGGATAAGCCACATACCTCCTCTCCTCAGTTGGGACCCTGGCAGGGCAGCTGGCAGTTAGGGAGTTGGCAGTAGTAAGTGAGGTATGCCAGGCCTTTCCCTGGTGCCCTAGCCTCAGAGAGGACACCCACCCCCTCAAATTGCCATTCCTCTGGCTGCCTCAGTTCTATAGGGCTCAGCTGAAGGGACAGTGGCCCTCCCAGCATTCAGACCTTGAAGGAGCAGGAGCAGCCACTGGTGGTATGTACCAGACCAGCACTGGTCTACTGGTGCAGAAACCCAGCCTTCAGGGTTCCTGTGGAGGAGGACTGCCCTCCAGAAAGGTAGCCTGAGCCAGGAAATGAAGAATCCTGTCTGTAGCTGAGGGGCAAAAGGTAGAGGTTCTGCCGAGCCCTGATCTTTCACCTCCTTCCAGGTTGTCCGGGCAAAGGAGCGCCTGGATGAGGAACTCAGAATCCAGGCCCAGGAGGAGAAAGAGAAAGAGCAGGTGCCCAGAACGTGACCGTGCAGCTCTCCTCTCCCTGCCACCTCTTAACTTATAGCTTGGTAATAAATCTCTTCCGTGTTTCTCCTGTGCATGTATCCCATTTCCAGGAGGCCAGTTGCCTCTTGTAGGGCTCTGCTGGGGCCCCGGGGGGGCCAACAGCTAACAGCCTCAGGAGCTGGGTTCAGGTGGTGAGATCGTTGAGCAGTCCCACCATGTAAGAGCCTGCCTGAGGGGTCATACAGCTGCTCCTGCTCCCATGGCACCTAATTCCCTTCCCTCCCTTGTATCCTGCCAGATGGAAACCCATTACCATCCCACAGGTCTTTTCCTGCCCCACCCTCAGGATGAAAGCCCCTGGCCCAGGCTTCGATATGATGTTTTTGGTGAGCTGGGCAGAATGCTTCCGTTCATGACTGAGGGAGAACCTTGGCCAGCCTATCCCTGGACCAAGGCATGGCTCACCAGTCATAGCAGGTTAGGGACCTGAACCTTGTAATGCTTACTCCAGAATCTTCCATCTCTGCTCCTCAGAACCCGACCCTCATGCTTCTTTCCTTCCAGTTCCCGGCTGGCTGACCTGCTTTCAGCCTCACATTGAGGCTGGCACCTAAAGGCTGAAGAGAAACCCCAGATCAGGGGCTTTAGGTAATATTGTTGGGAGACCCCAAAGCTGAGCACAGAGCCAGACAGTCTAAGGTCAGCCCCGTTCCTAGCATGTTCATGACACAGAAACCATCTTTGCAACTCACTTTTATTGTTTCTTTATAAACTTCCTCTCACATGGAGGAATATATTGTTATAGTCATTAGCTTATCTCTTTTTTAAACTCTATGCTAACAGCAATGGAGCCAAGAGGAGGAAAAACATAAGCTACAATAGAAAGGCACTTAGAACCTGTTAAAATACTGATATCCTGGAATGTGCAACAATAAACCAACAACAACGAAAAGTATACTGGCCCTTCCAAGCCTGGTCTATCACCAAATCACATGCTGAGCTAATGTCACCTTCCAGTGCCCTATTCCTCTGCTCCTGGGCTTGAGTCAAACCATATATCCCCCAAGCTAAGGACTGAAGGCCTAGGGCCCTAACAGGGATGAGGGGGGTGCTTGGGTCCAGGGTGGACCCAAAGAAAGAAGACCAGCTCCTTTCTACCTTGCTCACAGCCCCATCAAGGGGCAGAGCCAGCGTGGCCAGGCCCCATCAGGACTGGGGTTCTAAGACCAGCAGCAGGGACTGCCAGGTCAGGGTGACCCTTCTAGGACAGAAGGGCAGTCCAGGAAAGAGTGGGATCAGAACTGCTCAGAGGAACCACAGGGCTATGGAGGACCCCACTGCCATCTGGTGGCTCTTTTGTTCTATGGGTGGGGAATTGGAGGGGGTTGGCTATTTTGCAGCCTAGTGACAAAGGTGCTCTAAAGCCAGAGCTCCCAGCTGCTGGCAGGAAGGGAACAAAAGGCCCAGGGTTGGTTGAGTGGGACATGCTGGGATAGCCTAGCTTCTGGAGATTGGGCAGTGGGATCAATAACCTATATCCTTGGCATACTCTGGCCCCTGCATAGTAGTTAGACCCTAGGGGAGCTGGCTAAGTGGGAGTCTCTTAGGATCAGGCTCAACTGAGAAAAAGCCAGAGGCAACAACATCCCAAGTCCATCTCCTTCCTCCAGCCAGCTCTTCCCAGGCAGAGGGGCTGGGCCTGCCTGTAGCCATGCTTGGCTGCCCAGTCTCCCACAGACCCAGGCCTCAGTCAATGGCCAGAAAGCTCCCTCCACTTACCCCCCTGCATGCTGTCTTGGTGCCTTAAGACCAGAAGCTGCCTCTTGCCTCAGTACCAGTGCCCTGTAGGCCTCTCCGTGAGGCCAGTCCCAGCTGGGATGACCAAGATGGAGCCTGGCCTGGCCCTACCTGTTGGGCCTGGATTAAGTCCTAGCACCAGGGCTATCCATCTGACACCTTCCCTCCCTGGCTCCATGTTTCCCATACGCTCAGGATGCCTGAGTCAGATCCTTCCAGGGTATAGGGGCAAGTGAGTGGTCAGCTGGCCCTTCACCTGGGAATGTTGCTGGCCCTCTGGCAGTGCAGTCTGATTCAGGCTGAATGAAGGATGACGGCAGCTGACCAAGCAGGCCTCCCTTCTCTAGCGAGCAGGAAGGCACCTTGTCATAGGGATGGGTGGGGAACAGCATGGCTTCTTCCTGTGGCTTAGCCAGGGTCTGCATCTTATCTTCTCTCCCTCCAGGGGGTAGGCCAGAGGGAAAGGGGTCTAGGGTGAGCCTGCATGGGTGCTATGGCCCCGTGGGGGCTCCTCACAGCACATCACATAAAGTTGAGGGTGGTCTGGACCAACAGGAGGGCAGATACTACTTTGCCTGCTCCCAGTGTTGGGACACGGGAAGCAGTCGCTGCTGGCCTCTGTGGCTGATAAGTGGGCAAGTGAGGGAAGACAACCTGCTCAAGTTGGCCCTGGGATGAAGGAGGCACCAGGGTGGGAAACCAAGGACTAAGGGTCCGGTGGAGGATGGGCAGAGGGCTCAGAAGCTGTGGGACAGGGGCCTGAGGGTGAGCAAGGCCTCAGCACCCAAGAGCATGGTCAGGACCAAGTCCTCACTTGGGACCTGGGAAGGCAACAATGACCTTCTAGCACCATCCTTGCTGCCCAAGGACTGCATCTGGGACTGCAGCTTCCCAGGGAGCACAGACCACCAGGCCCCAGAGCAGTAGGACATTATTGCTATTTCGCAGAAGAGTTTCTGTTCCTCAGGGTGGGGCCAAGAGCTGCTGGCTGAGCTGTCATAGCTGGTAGGTAGGTAAGCAGGCTCAGTTCACTACAGCTGGTTTGAGTAGCACAGAGCCTGGTGGGATGACCACCCAGCCAGGAGTTAGTGCCTCTGGGCTGCTGGCTGCTGAGTTGACGCCTGTGGACAGGTCCAGCACAGTGCCTGGAAGCAGGGGGAGTCCATCGGGGCTTGGCCGGGAGCGGCTGCTCTCCGTCCTTTCGAGGGGAGTCTTGCAGCCCTCTGTGCCCAGGGCCCTACTGGGCACTGACCCACGCCCTTTCTCCCCCTCTGCCTTGCCGCCAGCGGAGCCAGTGAGGAGGGAGACCACAGGCAGACCCAGTCCACCAGCCCCAAAGGGAGAGGGCAGCAGTGGGTTCTTGGCCAGATTGAGGGGCAGAACAGGACCTGGCAGCCCAGGGCCAATACCCCCGCCACCCCCGCCACCCCCGCCATTGCCACAGGCCAGGGCACTGAGGTCGAGGGGGCCAGGGGCCAGGGGCAGGGGCAGGCCAGGCAGGCTGGGGCCTCCGAAGAGGGCAGCAGGGTTGGGAATGATGATCTGAGCCCCACTAACATAGGGGCTGCTGTCAGGGGTGGGCAGTGGTGGTTTAGGGGGTGGGCGTAGCTGCAGGAGCTCCTGCTGCTCGTGAGACACGAAGTGGCCATGGGCTTTGATGTGCTTGCGCAGAGAGCTGGGGTCTGTGTAGCGCTTGTGGCAGCCAGGCATCTTGCAGTAGTAGGGTTTGTCCACGTAGTGGGTGCGAGTGTGCTTGAAGCGGTCACTCGAGTTGGAGTAGCGCTTGTTGCATCCCTCATAGGGACAGACATAGGGCTTCTCACCTGCAGGGATAGGCCACATAAGGGAATCTTGCCCTACTCTCAGGTATTCCCACCCACACCCTCAGCATTCCCCAGGCCCAGATCTCTCAGAGCAAGGACTCTGATTTGGGGGGCATCCCCAGCAATGTAGCACAAGAGCTGACTCAGTTGGCTGTTGCAGGCAGAACCCAGCCTGGTTAAGCCCCAGCTCTGCGATGGCCTTGCTGTATACCATCAGTTTGCCCCACTGCAGCTGGTAAACTTAAGCAGGCAGAACTCCACCTTGGAGGTTATGTAGCTCTAGGTGGGCTCACTAGTGTGTCCTTTCATTTGGCCTTGTTCACAATGGTTCCATATTTACTAAGCCTTTACCACTGCACTGGCTAGGACAGCAACCAGCTGACTGCTGTGCCTTTGAAATGCAGCTGGTCCAAGTAGAGATGTGCTGTGAGAGTGACTTACAGACTAGAAAAAGAAACACCACACTAGGTTTCAAAGACTGTCTGAAGTAAGGATTTTCAATGTCTTACTGATTTTTTTTTTTAATTGAAATTATTTAAATGGTAACAGTTTAAATATATATATTGGGGCTGGGGATGTGGCTCAAGCGGTAACGCGCTCGCCTGGCCATGCGCGGGGCACTGGATTCGATCCTCAGCTCCATATAAAGATAAAATAAAGGTGTTGTGTCCACCAAAAACTAAAAAGTATATAAATTTCTCTCTCTCTTAAAAAAAATTAAAAATAAATATATATATTGGATTCAGTTAAATATATAATTGGGGCTGGGGTTGTGGTTCAGCGGTAGAGCGCTCGCCTGGCATACGCAAGGCCCTGGGTTCAATCCTCAGCACCAATAAAAATAAAAGTATTGTGTCCAAGTACAACTAAAAAATAAAAACTTAAAAATTAATGTCATCTATTTTCTTTTTAATGGTGATTAGACAATGTAAAACTAGTTCCATGGTTCTGTGAATAAGAGTTGGCTGTCGCTCAGGGACTAGGGAGCAACGCAGACCCAGTCTCTGCTGTCCTGAGGTAGCTAGCTATTAGTCAGATCATACAGATAGGACACAGGAAGTTGTGTCCATGCTCAGTGTATGTTGGGGTCTGACCCATAGGAAGGGCTCCCCCAGCAAGTGGCCTTCTGAAAGGGCCATGATCAATAAGATTTGTTTCTCATTGCTAAGGTCCAGTCCTTCCTTCCTGCCTGCTGGGTGCCTGCCCTTTCTGTCCCCAGCCTGCCCAGCTCTCCTATGTAGGAAAAACCCCCAACCAGGCCTCTCACCTGTGTGGGACCGGTTGTGGATCTTCAGGTTCTCCAGGCGGGAAAAGCTCTTATTGCAGGTGGGGCAGCGGTGCGGCTTCTCGTTGGTGTGCGTGCGGATGTGGATGAGCATCTTGTACCTGCTCCAGGGAGGGCACAGGGGCACGCTCAGCTTGCTGAAGACCTAGCCCCTTCCTCCCGCCCTTGCCCCTGCTCCCTCACCTGGCGTTGAAGCCACGGCCATGGCGGGCACAGCCCTCCCAGTGGCAGCAGTACCCTGCATCCTTCTCAGGCTTGACGTGATAGTCATTGACATGGTCCACCAGGTCTTGCAGGAGCTCGAAGAGCTGGTTACACTGTGGAGCCAGGCAGGGTTCTGAGCCTGTGTGGGGCCCCTGCCCTGGGCCCCATACCACTCTTCATGGCCCCCACTCACCTTGGCCCAGCGACACACCAGCTGCTTGGGCAGGGGCAGCTCTGGCGAGAGGCACTTGTCCTTGGAGGGTGTGAGGAAGGAGGAAGCAGGCAGATGCAGGGCCCCCCCAGAGCCCAGGGGTAGGAAGAACTGGAAGGAGCTGGGGACACTGTCCAGATATCGCAGTGGCTGGAAGTCCTTGGGAGTAAGGGCAAGGGAGAGAGCTGGTCAGTGCCCTCCTGAGACCCCCTTACAGACCCAGACCCCTTCTGTCCCCTTCTGGAATGGGCTGAATGTTGTCCCCCAAAAAGAGATTAAGTCCTAATCTCTGGTACCTGTGCTTGTGACCTTATTTGGAAATGGGATCTTCACAAATGTAATCAAGTTAAAATGAGGTCCTGCTGGATTAGGGTAGCCTAAATTCAGTACC